GGAATTGTCATACCAGAGTTGACATCCCATGGCAGCAACTGCCTCGCCCTGTTGTGTTTACGGCTGTACCAATCCCTTTCCATTGTACCAACCCCAACTGCATCTGGTTCGCTGTTCCATATGGGCATAAAGGACAATATCTACTTTGTCATCGGTTTATCGGGGCTTTCCTATATGACCAGTGCATTGTTTGCTTTCTGTCTCGGTTTGTAGCACAATCCTCTTGTAATGTACACATGGCAGTCAGTGCTTATCCTGAATTCCATGGTTGCATGTTTATTGACAACGAGGGTGATGTCGCTGTTGCTGCTGCGCACGACTGGAAACTCGATGACACTAAGGGTTACCAAACATGCCTGATTAAAGCATCTATTGACAACCGTGTTTTCAAGTACCCAGATCATAGTGCCGCTCTTCCACACATTAACCATATTGGGAAAATTAGTCAGGAACTCGCATGTAGCTGGAATTCAGACAATGCCCCCCCTAACTTTGCCTATTTTGTGTGTTCCCTGATTAAGTGTAACCAGTAGACATGCCGCGCCTCGGGACAGTTGCGAAACCTCTGCTGCTCGAATTTCGCAACGCGTGGTCCCGACAAATTCGAGCACTGTATTCACTCCAATTTATGACCAAATGTCCGAAGAGCCTTCACTGCTTGCAGTCACTCTCTTTTCTGCCGCATGTGCTCCAGATACCTGCTCCGTGGCCAATATTAGACATTCAGACGGTGGCTAATAAGTGTGGTATCCACAGTGAATGTTTTTTCCAATCTAGACAACTCCTTGCGCAAGCGCTGACCGACTCTTCTGAGTTTAGCCTTCTCTGCTGAAGTCCTTAAATATCGTCTAGAAAAGAAACAAGACTGCTGCACTGCCCTTAGATATTTAACCACATGGAATGTATCAGGGTGGAGAACGTTGCAATGGACTAACCCAAAGACACAAGCCATCCTCCGCCGCGCTAGGCAGGGAATCGTCTGCCTCCAAGAAACTAGATGGACAACAAGTACTGCTACCAATTTTCTCCAAACCTATCCAGGTTTCAACATTGCGCACTCCCCATCAATCGTCACAGAAAATGGAGGCTTATCGGGAGGGGTAGCCATATTGATTCCATGCTCCTTTAGACTTCTACAGGAGATTGTTATCGCGCCTGGAAAACTACTTGCCGCACAGGTCCAGACCAGAACCGACTGCTTTTGGGTAATTTCGGCCTATTGTCATCCCAGCAGTGCTAAAGAAGATTGTGAAACGCTTGCCAGATGGTTATCTGACCATCAGGACCATCCGGACCCTTTCTTCATAGTCGGCGATTTCAATCATGGGCATCACCTCTCCCCTGACGCTTGGCACCGCATATTAAGTACAGCTCAAGGTGATGACATTGTTAAAGATGAACCGACTTTCTGGGGCCCGAACGGCTCGTCAGCAATCGACAAGGTCATTCTTCCGACCGAATACATGAATCGAGGACTTATCCAACATCATGTATTCTATGATCGGCTTTTTGAACTTGCTGGACATGCATGTATCTCCATCCAATTGCGCCACAGGCCACCAGTTGCCAGTAGCCCTGACCTACCTCTTCATATGACCATACCAGCGAGTGTTTTCCAACCGGGTAAGGACCGACATGACACCAGGCAAGTTTGGCCATCACTCCAATCGCTGGTTCGACGGCTGTGCTTAGTCTCTCAACCCACCCTTGAATCCCTTCAGACATTAGTATGGCAATGGTGGATGTCACTCCCTAAACGGCCCCGGGACTTCAACACTCTGAGGAAACACCTCCAATCTGATCGATCACTTCTCAATATTTCTAAACGTTTGCTACGAGAGCTTCTGGCGGCCCTTCCAGGCTTCCGCCCTGCCTTAGAAGAATATTGCCAATCATCCACGGTAATTACGGTGCCTCGTACCTTCCTTTGGAAGTGTTTCGAGCTCCTTGACCTGCAGCTACAACAACAGCATCTTATCACAAGGAATCGAGACGAAACTACTCGAAGTCGTGGCCTTGGGACCAATGCCCCCCTGTGGCAGAGACTTCGGGCTAGTTGCCCGCGAACTGTATTTTATAATGGTCCGATTCTGGACGGCGAGGGCAACCAGTGCCGGACTGATCTGGACCTGTCGGCAGCCATGCTTGCTACCCGCAAGTTCTGGTTCCAGCCGCCTGTCAAATATGATCCTGAGTGGACGGACTACCTGGATCAATATAAAGCGCAAATCCAGCCCTGGCCACATGTTCCCCCGCCCGGTGCGGAAGACCTAATCAGAACTGTCCTTGCCACTAATGATTCCTCCCCAGGACCAGATGGAATACCCTATGCTGCATGGCGACTCCATCCTGGAGTGTCTTCGGAGGCGATGGTTACGCATCTCAATGACATTTGTCGGTCTGCAGTTCCACCTCCTTGTTCAGTCCAAGCATGGATCCCGAAAGCCAAAATGGGCCCCACTGCTGATAATTTCCGTCCACTAGGTATGCCATCGACATTTGAGAGAGTCATAGATGGAAGCATCGCAACAGTCATGACTAAAGCCATTGCTCCGCTACTCCACCCCTCTCAAACGGTGCTGAATGTCTTCCGCGAACCCCAAAGTGCTGTCCAATCCGTCCAAGCTGTGTTAGATCAAGATGCACCCTGCGCATGTCTATCCCTAGACCTGTCCAAAGCATTCGAAAGGATTAACCCCTACTGGATCCTGCAAATTTTATCAGCGTGTAAAGCCCCCTGGTGGATTATCATGTATACTCGACACATCCTACTCTTCCGAAGATGCAGGCACAAGGTCCAAGGTAAGCTCCTGCCCTCAAAAATGATTGTCACGGGCGTTGATATGGGTCGGTCTTTCTCAGTTCTGCTTTTCTGCGTGGCCATGGACCCAGTTTTAACCTACCTCAACCGAATCCCCGGAATGCTTACAGTTCAAGGATATGTTGATGACACCACGATGGTGGGAGACACCGCAGCTGGCATGCAATGGCTCACGGATGCCTGGCAAGCTTGCATTCGTTTGAAATCCGCGGGCATTCAAATTGATGAACACCACTGCTGGCGAACCAGTGGGATCAATATGCATGCAGCTTGCTCGGGTCAGATCGACCAATACCCATCACTGCACTGGGCACAAAGGTTATCAGGATATGCTACACTACGACAAGCTTTGGTTCACAGGATCGGTTATAGCACCACCACCATTGTGTGCAGATCAAATTTGTTTGTGTGCCTCACCCCAGCAGAAGTGGATTCCATTCTATCTGGCGAGCATCTAGCCAAAATTGACCCACTCTTCCTAGTACAGTGTGGCTGCTCCAACAAGTGCAGTGTTCTAGTTAATCATCCTGCCTCCCATAGTACTCTAAATGCGCTAGAACGCTCCGACTGGGGAGCACACCTCATTGAAGGCAAAACCACTGCGCTGGGGCTAATCCTATATGGGAAATATACCCGTAGTAATCAAGGGTGGACCCCAGTAGAGGAGCTTACAGGCACACAAGCCATTAATCCCAAAGCTATGACTACTTGGAGGGTCAGGCTGGTTAGTAAGTACTTAGCCTATATAAAGCATATAGTAAGTACTTAGTAAGTACTTAGTATCTACCCTAACCTTACTTATAAGTACCCTAAGTAGCATTTTTAAGTACATTATGTTTGCTAAGTATGTAGTTGTATGTAGTCCACTTAGCTAAGTACTTAGATTTTTTATTAACTACATACTATGTAGCATATGTACTTACTTTACTTAGTAAGTCAAAACTATTTTTAGCACTCCACTTAGGTTAAGTAACTTAGCGAACTTAAGCTACTTAAGTATAAGTGGGGTAAGTCACTTACGTTAGTTAGTTTTAAGTGGGCTAAGTGGACTTAGCTCACTTAGAATTGCAGCCCACTTAGCCCACTTAGTCCACTTATAGCAAGTGGAAAACTTGCAAAAAACAAACAGGTGCAACCATGTTTTACAACATGCGTATGTTTTTTTTGGTTGTTGTTTGTAAAAACGGAAGGAACAAAATATATGTTTGGTATTTTTTGCGAAGGCGTTGTTTGTCAAAAGTGTGTTTGTCAAATTTGGGTGGAAACAACACTGGTATATCTGAAATGGTTTGATTTTTTTTCGCGCCGGATGTCTTTAACAAGTGATCACAAAAACGAAGCCACATGTTGGTGATTTTGAGATGCTTGATATCGTAAACGAAACAATTTCATTTGCAAACATTGTTTTTGAGAAATCAAATTTATTTTTTTTGGGTTGAGGTGTTCGCACTGATAAACTTGAAAAGGTGACATGTATGGCTAGCAGATCTTGTGTTGAATGTCGTGATTTGCATGTGCGGGATCTCAGATGTTTGATGATGTTGCAAGAATTGACATTTTCATTGCCCTCACATTGCCACAGAAAGTGAACAGTGTTGCATGATTGCGCTGATTTTTTTGAGAAACAACATGTTATGATTTCATTCATAGATATACATGTTTGTTGAAACGATTTTTTGTTTTTGTGCCAGTTGCCCTTGCACCGCAATCCTGAGGTCCAAGATGATAGCACTGCAATGCAGATGCAGGCGTGATGACTGCATGGGAACATGATCGATGTTGCAGTCAACTGGACTTTTCTGTATCCTTCAGACGGCTTGCATGTCATGTCTCGAGACTGTCAATTTCATGTTGCATACATTCAACCATGCGCCATGGCCTCTTTACAACTTGTAAAAACGAAACACGTTTCTGAGTCTTGTGTCGGAAGTGCGTGGCCATGCTCGCACTCATCAGCTGCGGGCTGAGCTCGCAGTTGAACTTTTTTTCATGCACATGTGGGTTCAAGGTGCGTATCCAAGAGCTGGCAATCTCGCATGAAACATTGCGTCATCACAAACGCATGAAACATGCTCCATAGATCTTACAGTCATGAATCATGATGTATATGAACAAGAAACACGCATCTCCTATACTCCTTCATTGACTTGATATAGGTGTTTGTGTTGTGCACATGGCCATGGATGCTGGATTGAAGAAGCAGATCGATGGCCTTCTCGAAGAGGCAGAGAAGGGCTCGCTGCTGCAGTCCATGGAGAAGATCTATGCCATCCTTCGGGACCACGGCCTCATGTGGTCATCAACCGTCCACAGTCGTTGGATTGGTGTACATGAAAGCAACCGGGACGGGACAGGCATCAGTCCAGATCATGTCCAGAAGCTCTGCTTGGACTTCTTTGAGTTTGGCTACGTCCCCAGCGCATCCCGCAGGATCTGCATTGAACTGGGGACGGGTGACAGGTGCAGTGACGATACACGTGCCTACAATGACAAGTTGGTCCAGCAGTCCAACAACCTGTTGCTTTGATTATTGATTCATGTGTTGCTACATTGTGTTCATTTTCATGAGTGGGATCATCTATGTGCATGTCATGGCAACACATGTTCATCATCTCCATGCATGGCCCATTTTGTTGAGGTTGCCGCCCATCAAGGACAAGTTGCGTTTTGCCACCATAGCTGGGTCACATTCCAATCAAGTGATGAGGATGTGGTTCTATGGAATGGAGCATGCAAGTGAGAAGCTGACCACCGGTGGCCGATTGAGCTCAGAGATCCTGCAGCGCTCAGATTCCTTGTGCTGGCAGGCTGTTCATCAGGGCGTGGAGTGGGAGATCATTTCCTCACTGGTGCCAGCCACCTGGAAGCACTTCGCATCGTTGGCTTCAAGCGCTGCGAACAGTGCTCAACAAGTGTCACAGGGTGAGACAGACTTGCAAGTCTGCAAGAAGATTGCCAGCACATGGCAGGCATGCAATGCAGGCAATGTCATGACATACCAGGAGATGAAGCCAATTCTTCTGAGGAGCAAGCCGCCCAGAACTGAAACAATTCCTCACTTGTTCTCTTTCATGATGAAATGTGGAGGAGGAGCCACCGGGCACTTGATGCAGGCCACTGAAAGCTTTGTGAGATGCAATGGCATCTCCTCGAGGAGGCTTCCAGTGCAAGCGTGGGACTACCTCGCCACTGACGTGAAGAACAAGCAAGGGGAGCAGGCAGTTCTATGGCGGCACGCCATGCTGAAGACCATGTACTGCGTGGAAAATGGTTTGACTCCTGCAGACATCAAGAAATCGTTCAGCAATGGCAGCATTTTCCAACAGGTCTTGGTGTTTGAACGGACGCACCAAGAGCTGAGGAAGCTCGGTGCCTCTATGAGTGAGTTGTCTGGCCACATGCTGGCCCAGGGGCTTGGCGTGTTTGAGGTGGACAGTGTCATGGCAATTTTGGGAAAGAAATTCAAAGGTCCCCATGAGCCCTTTTCTGACTTCAAAGATCTACGCCATGCTGCTCACAAATGTGTCACGTGCTGGAATGAACATGTGAAACAGCCAGTCACGTCACCATGGGCTGCAGATGTCGCAGCATCAACACCATCGGCATCGGCCTCTCAGACTTCACGGCCATCATCGGCAAAGGGCAGGACTATAAATGCCAGTTGATGCTTGATTCATGCATGATCCGTATCAAATTTGAGGAAACATGTCAAAGGTGTTAAGGTGGTATAACTCCTACTCCATTAGAATCTAGGTCTATATATAATGTTGTGTTGTCATGTGTTAGAATGCGTGCATGCATGAATAGTATACTTGTGGATGTATCTGTTACATGCTGACTAATAACCTCAATGCATCACATGTATTTTGCTCAGTTTCTAGATATAGTGGTTACCATTGTTTCATGCAGGATCCGTGACATCAGTGAGGGTGGTCGCTTGACTTCGGCCTCCATCGTGCTTGATGCTGGTTTCGATGTTGGCTCCAAAATTGTGAGGAAGTCTGACAACAAGGAAGCCACGATCAAGGAAATGTCAAGCATCAGAGTGGTTGTGACATGCGATGACGGGAAGGATTACGACCTAAAGGTTGATGACCTGATTGGCGGCAAATGGAAACATCAACCAAAAGAAAAAGCACCAGAACTTGTCAAGGATCCTGAGGTATGGAAGGAACTGTTGAAGATGGGGGTCATGAGGGCTGATGTCATCAAACGAATCCATGAAACAGTTCAGCAGTGTCCGGACCAACTCAAGGGCTTGGATCTCATTCAGAAGCCAAAGGGTGTTTCAGCCTCAAGTGACTTTGGCAAGGGCAAACTGCAACTTGTTCCAATCACGACCAGGGTGGAGATAGTTGATGAGTGCACTGATCATCGGCTTCCACCAAATGCGTTGCGCATTTGTGGAGAGAAGATCGACGGGAACCTCACATGAACACCATGTTGGATGTTTTTTTTCTTTTCTTGGGCTCATTCATGGGACTCTTGCAAATATGTTGTTTCATGTTTTTTTGATTGTTTGCATGGGTTGCATGTGTTGCAGGTGCATGGGTTGCATGATGGTTTTATAATAAAGACACCTAGCTGAGTTATAGCTCAACATGCCGCATTCATCTGCAATTGTATCAATAAATCAATGCGCCTGTGATTGCCAAGGAAAGATCATGGTGTCTTTCTGCTGCCGCCCAATGTCCCAGTTCCGTTCTGGATGATGAAGACAACAGATAGTGCAAATGATGACGAGGCCAACATGGAACTGGTGAAGAAGGGCAACAAAATGTTTGTGGCGAGGAACACGCAGGCGGTCTCTGCAGGTGATCCACTGGTGCTGGTGAGGGATGACATGGCTGCTGCAAAGAAGCCTGAACCGCTACAACCAGCCACCCGCCCTCTGAAGAGGCAACGAAAGACAGCATAAGTGCGCATGACCAGGCATTCCCATGGCATGCTGCATCACTCCTATGGCTGACCCATTGTATAGAGCCTGCAGATATACCGTGTGTGGTCCAGCCAATTTTGTTGGTGATATGGCTTGATCTGATGCCAATACATATACCAGCGAGCATTGCCCAGCTTGGAGAAACAACGCGAGCCGAGCCCGCGTGTTTGAATCATGGCCATATTGTTGCATCAATACATTCATGAACCTCCCGTCGCAGTGGACATGTGTCTTGAAGGCAGCACAGTTGTTACTGTATACTACAGCTGTTGCAGTTTTTACTTAAATATATATGACACAGGATGTGTTTTGCGTGGTATGGCTCACTGACTGTGCATGTCGGGGATTGCAACTTGCGGTTGTATGACATGTGTGGCTATGCTCGCATGTCAGCCTCCTGCAGGGCTTTTGCTCGCAGGCGCATCCACAACAGTTCCAAGGGATCCAAAGGGTACATAGCTTCGACCATGGCTGACGCTCCTGTGCCGTATGTCTATGACTTCGTCACCATGCCTCTGGGGTCTGCGTTGGCGCGCACAGAGCTTCCGCCACTTGGGGGCCGCGGCTGGGCGAAGCTGGGCAACCACCAGGTGCGCAGGATCCTAGAGCGCGACCACATGGTCATCTACATCAGCAGCAACGGATCCAGCATTCCCTACAAGTATGTGGAGGAAACAGAGGATGGATCCAAGCTGAGGTATACCCGGAAGAACCAGTGGGACTTGATCATCTTGCGCAGTCCACAGGCAAGCATCGTATCTTGCGTTTGCAACAATCAACATGTTTTATCCATACATGTACTGTATACATGCATATTTATATATATCTATATGTATATATATATATATATCTACAATCATCTAATATTATAGAAACCATTTTTTGTCACTTTTGGACATGCACACACCATGGTATAATAAAGTGCATCAGCTGTAACAAAGGTGCTGCGACTGGAGGCGCAACTGCACCGGAAATCCATTTATTTCCTCATGAGCACAATGGCTGGCCGAGAGGTTGCTGGCTTTCGTTGGGGGTTGAATCTCGAGCTGCCCATGAGGGCGTCAACGATCGTGGAAGGTATGCAAAGGCATGTGTGCAATGCGCTGAACTCCAGCAAGCAGAACATCATCAAGATTGTGGCCAGCAGGTCTGGTAAGTTGTATCGGAACCAGGACACCCTTGCATGCGTCATGACATGTTGGATCATGGTCCATTATGATAAGCTACATACATCGGCATTGTACGGTTTTGCTATTGTTTTGATGAAGCATGTGAGAGTGTTTTGTTTTCTTTGTCATTTGTATCGCAGGTCAATCCTTGGATTTAGTCTCGAAGGATCGCATGTCAATCCTTATCATTGTATCGCATGTCAATCCTTTTCTTTGTCATTGTATTGCATGTCAATCCTCATAGTTTCTTGAAGGATTTGGTCTTCGACCCTCGGCCTGCACCGGTCGTCTCCAAGAAGCAGAAATCCAAGGTTGTCATGAAGTGTCGCCGCATTTTTGAAAAGATGCCCTTTGGATGCACGCTCATGTTCATGGATTTGAACCGCTTCACCCGTCCACTTGATGATGGAACCATGACATGGGTGAACCTGTGGAACCCCAATGAAGATTTGCAAGTGAGTGAGTCAGAGGATGACCAAGATGGTATGTGAAGCCCACTGCAGAATGTTTTGAGGTATGATCGTTTTTCCAATTTTGATCATGGATGTCATGCAGTGGCAGTTGAACAATCCTGCCAGTCTAGACAGGTAGCGTTTTTCAAAATTTGGTCGTCATGTCGGGGCAGTTGAAGCAATCCTGCCGGTTTATAGACGTGGAGCAAACTCACTGGAGGCAGCTTTGGACAAACGGTTTTGACCAGAACGATTTGCAGATGGAAAACAGTTGTGGGTTTGTCATGGTCGTTTTCTGCCAGGACAAAAAATTCGGCATTAGTATAGCATGGGCATTGTGTATGCATAAACTGGGAACACGTATATCGGTTCACAAAAAATGCTTGTCCCACGTCCAGATCCACTGTTGGAAAGGTGATGCTGCAGCCCCCTTGCAGGCTGTGACATGGTTTCATGGTGGGTTCATGTCGAAACCGTGCATGGACCATTAAACATGCATATGAACATTGCCATGAAGACATCCTCATGACGCATCTTGACGCATGGGTTTGGTTATGAATACTGCAAAGCACTTTACTTGGTTTGGCATGAAACACCGCATGTGTTGACATGTCTCCTTGTGAAACCATGCAGTTTTCGACGCCAGGTACAATCTTCGACGCTTCCACTCCGTCAGCGCTGTGGGAAGGACTGTGATTTGCTGCCAGGGCGGTTCAAATGGGGCATGGTCAAATATTTTGGGTTTAATCATGTCCAATGGCCTCAATCTGAATGTCAGCGTTTTTTTGGAGATGGGGATGATAATACTGATGATGGTTGTGATGTTGACGATGATAATGATGTTGACGATATTTTTGATGAGAATGATGTATATGGTGATAAGTGCGGTACATTGATACTGTTGGGGAAGGTATCAAATGATGACTTTATATACTCGCTTCGGCCCTTCTTGCTGCAGACGGATGCGCCATTCACGGTGCAAATGCACGGCATTCAGTCGATGCACACACCCACGCACAGGCACATGTTAATGGATGCATGATTGCATGCACACATGCACAACCATCATGTCGCCAATGATTCAATATAATGCCCAACATGACAATGCCCACCACTTCTACTATAATCTTGCCCAAGTTCGACACACTTCAGAATAGAAATGCCTCAAGAACGAACATGGCATATATATATATATGTGTTTTTGATTGACATTAACATCCATCTGTAGATTGCCTCTAAATTGCCATGGGAATCCACGGTACTGGGAGGGGCAATGGCCGTGGCCGTGTCATGCCACGTGGCCGAGTTGTTCCACCACGTGGGCGAGGCTCTGACCGCGGCCGATGGAACCTGAGGAGGAGATTCGTGCATGCGAAGAAGACGAAGAAGGAAGAGAAGCCCATGAAGGAAGCCAACTCTGCAGGACATGTTGAGCTGTCCAAATCCTTTTTGTTGCGAGTTAAACACACTGTTTTACAAAACTCTTGGCCCTATATAGTTGACCCCATAAAACATGTTGTTTTCTACAACGATCAATCTATATTATACCAATTAATCATAAGCGCAAGCATGTTTGTTTTCTGTTTGTGATCAATCTATATACCACGAATTTTGTGTCAACCATGCATGCACCCCTCCGGTCAGTCGCACAACACTCTTGGACCTTGGATGCATGCAGGAGATGCTGCCGAGGGAGAGGACGTCCCGCACTTCTCTGAGGAGGAGGAGGAGACAATGTCACAGACTGGTCGGCCGATGACTGATCAGGAAATGAAGGAGCTGGGGCTCTCACCGCCACAGGATGTGGAAGATGTGGAGGTGGAGGAATCGGAGGAGGAGGAGGGGCATGGGGGTGGCACTGCAGAGCAGTACTTCCAGAAGTACGGTGTGATGAAGCCACCCCCATGCCCAAAGCAGATGCCCCAAATGGGGGGGCGCATGCGGCCACCAGAACCTGCTGGACCACCGCCGAAGCCGGCAGAGCCCCCGGCTGCGGTGCCACCACCCCCACCGGGACCGCCTGGTGTGACGGTGCACCAGTGGACCCGGTGCACCAAGACCATGGCGGTCGTGCCGCAGCCGCCACCGCCGCCACCGCCTGCAGCTGCACACAGCAACAAAAGCAGCAGCAGCAGGCCATGCGAGGCGGTGGTGCCATATGACGAGGATGATGAGTATGAGCTGGGCGAAGCCCCAGACCAAAGCACGACGAACACGGCCATGGTGAAATGGAAGCAGCAACTTGGCTCTTATATACTTGGACATGTCATGGCACTGATGTCAAGCATGTTATTATGCACTGTGTTACCAACGATGTGATAGACACATGTCAACAGGTCAGACAATGAGGAATGTTGTCAATATTGTTTCACTGTCATGACATGATGTTGTCATGTTAACAGCTAGCATGTCGTCATGTCATGTCACGTCATGTTACGTCACGTCATGTCACATCATGTCATGTTATGACAACATGTCATGGCATGTCGTGTGAACTGCGCTCAGGCCCCGGGTCCGCGATCACACCAACCGTCGTCGTGGCGGCTACAAGTACCAGAAGGCGAAGAAGAACAAGGAGCAGGCTGAGCAGATGGGTCAAATGATCCAGATCTGCGGCACACTGGCCAGGGTAGTGGAGAAGGGTTTGGATTGAATAGTGACCTGTGGTGCAATGGCTGCCAAGTAGGAGCAATTGATCATAACATTTGTCACTGAGATAGAAGTGCTACTTCCAACAAATCAAATCAAATTGTTTCCATAGCCATGCACCTATATAGGGATATACTGGTCAATCCAAGTTGCACAATGGCTGGCCGAGAGGTTGCTGGCTTTCGTTGGGGGTTGGATCTCGAGCTGCCCAACTCCAGCAAGCAGAACATCATCAAGATTGTGGCTAGCAGGTCTGGTAAGTTGTATCGTCTCCTGGACACCCTTGCATGCGTCATGACATGTTGGATCATGGTCCATTATGATACGCTACATACATCGGCATTGTACGGTTTTGTTATTGTTTTGATGAAGCATGTGAGAGTGTTTTGTTTTCTTTGTCATGGTATCACAGGTCAATCCTTGGATTTAGTCTCAAAGGGCATGTCAATCCTTATCATCTATCATGTGATTTGTTCATTTTTCACATAACATGATCAACTCCTTCTACTGCTTGTGCGACGTATTGGACAGCCTCGGGCAATGGCATGGGCATGTTTCACATGCATGCAGCTGTTTCACCTGCACAGCAGGGCGCATGGCACGGACACCGGTCCATGTCAATAAGAAGTCCTATGTTTACTTGATTGTGCAACACTTCAGGGACTAGGCTTCAATCATGTCCAGAAGCTACACGCTTTGAATTTGATTGACCCCCATGCAGACCTCATGTTAAATTCAACCCCCACACCTCCAAACATATGATTGTTTCAAGGCAGACTTATATATGTGGCTGTTTCTCACACCATGGCATATATGATCCCACAAATCATCTCAAAGTGCATTGCACAATCAGCTGCGTCCAGCTTCCCATTTGGCTGGGTGTTTGTATCGAACCATTGCAGTTGTCAGCACATGGATTAAATGTGCAATCGTGGAACGCATGTTCTATGTTCACTACATTGTGTTTAGTTTTGTGTTGATATTTGCAAGTGTTGTTGACAACATGAATGGTTCTATCCGTGTACAGTGCAGCCGCGGTCCGAAGCAGGAGCAATTCGTTTGGTTTAGTTTGACAAGTGACCAAACCAAGATTCTGATGCAATTTATACTTACTTTACCCAATCCACTCATCCTATATGGCTATATAATTTAATAAGGTGTTATAATACTGTGTGTGCTGATATACTGTATGTATACAGGTTTGGCTTTCCGCGTGCGGTGGCGTCAACAGCACGTCCCTCTTTGGCACGTGTGCCATGTGGTGGCAATTCACCTGTATGAAATCTACGGACGGTCGACCGGCCATGTGTGTCTGTGTGATTTGATAGCTCCCTGTAGGGTTTTGTGTAGTGTGCGGCCAGGACCCAAACAGTGATTCAAGGCAGGTGCCAAAGACTACATGTTGTGATACGGCCCAGCTGCTGGATAGATTGATTGATAAAAACGGTTAATATCAACACAACCACTTGATATGACAAGCGGATGGCACCTGCACAAGTCACTGCCCCTCTTGGCACTATAGGGTGCCGCATTTTCCCACACGTTTTTGTGGTGCGCACATTCTTTGACTCATTGCAAATATATATATATATATCATTGCACATATATATATATATATATCATTGCATATGTATATATATACAGCATTGCATATATAAATATACATACATATTGGCTCTCAAGAAAGTAGAATTGTTGACACTCAGTATGTGTGTTGCGCACCAACAGCACCATATTCATGTGCTGGCTGTGGTACTAAGTGTGAGGCTGTGTTTATGAGAAACAAAACAAAAACAAGAAAATCACTGAATAGCAAACAAATGGTTCAATACCAAGTCATCTGGCATGTGTACTTTTTTTTAGATTCAAGCAGTCCACAGCAAAGCCATGCAGTGCAGAGCCGGTGGTTTCGTGCATACACAAATGCCTCCGCTGCAGCGTGAGAAAACAAAGAATGGTTCCTGGGCTGATGGTCTTGGCGGGTCTATGCATGTGAAATGTTATCACAAAATACTCTAAGTATGGGAGGTACCCCAAGTTTTGAAATCATGTGCCCAAAAAAAACTGACTTCACAAGATCAAAAAAATGCTCACTGTTGCTGAGTTTTCATGGTTTGCAATTATTGTAAAACCATGTTTTGACCAAAAAATCACCTTTGAAATTGAAAAGTCAAAAAAAAAATTGGGCAGCGTTCCCCCCTCCTTATTGATCGGGATTTTGGACAAATTGTGGAAACACAAAATGGCACATGGCTTTTTTGTGGAAACACAAAATGGCACATGGCCTTTTTGTGTAAACACAAAATGGCAAGGGGTTGATCATTGCCATTTTGTGGAAACACAAAATGTCATAGTGACATTTTGTGTTTCCACAAAATGTCACTATGACATTTTGTGTTTCCACAAATTGGCATAAACATAATATATTATCATGATTGCTCACTTGCTCCGCTGGCAGGACATTTCTACTTCATCGACTTCTTCGAAGGTTCGGATCAGACTTGGATCTTTGGGCTGAAATCCAATGACTTGGAATCTTCATGGCAACAGTTTCAACCAAGTTTGGATAGTGTTTTCCATCGTGGCACAAGAGTACATACATGATGCTGTCCAACTTTCACCTTTGTAGTTCTGATCTCGTTCACAAGTACGCCACGCGTGGCCATGGCTCGCGTGGCCAGTGGTGCGGGCTGGCTCGCTCACTGACATGATATCTGTGTGCTTCTCCGCTTGCATTTCCATCAAACATAGGCCAGAATCGCGTTCATCAACATGACTTTGCAAATTATTTTTTTAAGCATATGCAAGAACATTTGTGAAGCATGCAACATGCATGAGTTCACTTTGGGTCTATAAAATAGTATTGCATTGGTTTGTTCATCTCTGACCTCGGCATGGATGCGGATCGTGGTGCCTCGGAGTCCCATGGAAGTGATCATGATGCTGAAGAGGATGCCAGGGTGGCTATAGCTCAAGTCCACCGAGTGACCGTTGGCAACAATGCCTGGTACCCAGACATCCAAACTGCTGACAATCGTGTCTTCTTCAAGATTGACAAGCATGATCGGGAGCTCACCAAAATTACCCTTGGAAAGGGTGTCAACCGACACAAGAACAAGGGTGAGATCAGAACACTGAGCAAGTTGCAATGGTGGGCAGACATGCATGCCTTGAGGAAACAAGCCTGCAACTCAGCCATTCATGATGTGTTGCGGGCTGCCATGACGGAGAATGGAGACGAAGTGCCTGCCAACTTTCGGTTTCGAGACGCCAGGGATGATGACAAGTGGCTTGTCCGTAAAGAGGTAGTGGAGCTTCATTGTCCAGCCCTGGAGGACTATCCAGCCACGGTCATCATGGCTTTGTGGCAGATTCGTGGTCCGCTCTTTCTGGAGCTCACAGAGGAGTGCGTCAAGTACTGTGTGGCTGCCATCAGGCAGTCACCAGATGCTGTGCCATGTTCTCCCAAGCGGAAACGCAAGAAGAAGCTTCGCCGCAGTGCCAGCACTCCACGAAAAGCGGAACATGGACCGGCACGTCCCATGGAATCCGAGCCTGCAGCACCAGAAGCTCCAGGTGCAGACTGAGCTGCTCATGGGATGAGACGTGCACATGGGTATCTACATTGCGAGGGGTATAGACGCCCTCACACCTGTGCAGCAAGCATGCATGGGCATCCGAGCGCACTGACAAAAGGCATAACATTGGAAGCATGGGAGGGAACATGTGGATGAGTCAACCATTACACATGTGTTGTCGCCTTGCCAAACGCAAATGGATTCTGGCAGCTGTAGACATGCTTATAACAAGTTGGGAGGGTATACATGATGGTATGTCATAGTTTATATATTCCACATGTTTTGTCGTTGTTGCTTGTCGTCAAAGCTTGCAGTTGCGCACATGTGGCCACAGTTGGACGCATGATGTGAGGAAAGTGGGTGACATGCCCAACATGAACAGTTGCAGTGTTTTTGCAGTGATCAAATCTGACGGCAGCCTGGCCATGGCGTTAACGTGGCAGAAATTGCTGGGCGAAGTCCAGGGCCTTCATGACTTTGTGGAAGCGCAGAAGACGATCATGGACAAGCCAAACCTCGAGAAGCTGATGCAGGCACACGTGGACCAGATCTCTGCCCGGTCTTCTGTGAGCTGCTCAGCCGAGGACGCCAAATTGTTCACCTCCCTGGTGAGCAAGGGCCCATGGACTGAGGCTCAGAAGCAGCGGCTGGCCGAATGGTGCAGCAAAATGCTGCTGGAGAGCAGCCCAACGGCCAGAAAGGGCAACAGCCGCCGGCCGGGCCAAGTAGCCACCAGCTTTGCCCAATACTTCAGTGGCAAGGACGTGGACATCCTGGGTAGTGATGCCACCCTGGCATTGAAGGTGGATTGCATCACCACACGCATGAAGAGGGTAGGCCTGCATTTGCCCACCGAACAGAGCTGGAGACCAATCATGCAAGCAGCCCAGGTCGCAGGCATGGATGTGGGCAACGATAAGAATCAAGTGGATCTCATCAAAGACTTGAAGGCATCCCTGCACAAGAAGAAGGACATTGTTGAAACCCACTTGGTTGAGTTCCCTTCACGACCTCAAGAGCTTGCATGGTTTGCTGCAGCATATGATGAGGCTGATGGTCCACGCGCTTTGGATGAGCGCGAGGTCATATCCAAAGATATGACCCTTCGTGGCAGCAAGAAGGCTGCCAGGGCCCCCTCATCGTCCAATCCAAAGTCTCAGACACTGCAGCTTGTCCCGAATGAGGATGCTGAGATACAGCATTTGAGACGCATGGGCATGGCCATGCAGTGGGCATTCGGCATGATGCAATCAGAACATCCAGATGCTCTTGGCTCCGCGCCAGGGTTTCGTTCCATGGGGCCAGCAAAACGCCAGAAGGCATTGACCATGGGAGATGCCCCAAGTGCTGCAGGGCCTCCGGTGCCAGCTGTGCAAACCTTGGCCTTGAAAGATGTTGAGGCCAATGCTGCTGCCGCCAAAGATGATGCTGCTCCTTCTGCAGCGGGTGGGGCCGAGCCAGCTGTCACAAAGCAGGTTGAAGCACAGGATGCTCTGCTCGAAACACCGGCTGTTCTGCTTACACCACCTGAGGATGATAAGACGACTGCCCTCAAAAGGCCAGCTGCTTCCTCTGAGTCTGTGAAGCAACATGCACCGATCAAGAAGAAGCCTGCTGCTGCCCAAAAGGTGGTGGCAAAGGCTGGCTCAAAGAGTGGTGCTCCCAAAAAGGGTGCCAAACCCAAAACCATCGTGAATTGTAAGAAAGGCTGGGTGATGGAAATTCGACAAGGAGACTCGGGGCAAAAAGACAAACACTATAAGTCCCCTGATGGCACAATGTACAGGATTCTGAGTGATGCTGTCAAGAACGGCTTCCCTGGACAGTGATATTTGTTGCATCTCCGTGGAAAGCGTGCATGCATGCGTATATACATGTGGGGGTCATGCAAGGTGTTGCCCCATGTCCCACGATTCTAACGTGTGATCACGCTTAAACAACATGCTAAGAACACTTGCCCGTGGTCATGGTCATGCATGGGCATGAAAGCGGTCATGGTTGTACAGCTCTTACCCATTGGCAACATTGCAAGCCAACTGCACAGTTGATGGATCAAGTGTGAGCAAGAACGCGTTGATGCAACTTATAAGATGTGATAAACAAGAACTCATTGCTGCCATATAGAAGGTTTGCTTTCATTGTGTCATGATATTCACATTGGTGCTTGGATGGATTTTGATCGAGCCTGAGAAGGCTAGATTTCTATATAGTTAACAAGCTTTGTCACAACATTGCAACTGTTGCAAATATAATTGCATGCACGTAGCACTTGTACATTCATTCGAACCTTCTGCTGCCCTTATATAGGGTTTTGTTTTCTCTGCCTCCCTTTATAGGGTTGTTTTTTTTTCTGGTGCCCTTTATAGGGCTTTTTTTTTCTGGTGCCCTTTATAGGGCTTTTTTTTCTTCATGGCGTTGGACATCGCGTCTCTGGGTAGACGGTCGTTCATCAGCCAGAGTGCTTTGGCCGAAGTTCTGACGGCAGTTCGAGAGAGCGGCGAGCTCCCTCAGACTTGCAGCAAGTCGACTGTGAAGCGCCGCCGTGAGGAGGCTGCTCAAGTCGAGACTCCTTATGGCCCGCTCATTCAGTTCTTGGAGGCTGAGAGCGAGGATGGGACGTTTAAGAAGATCCCCTACGCCCATCCTGGTGCCTTTATGCACCATGCCAGTGGCACTTGTCCTGGCTTTCGAAGACTGCTGGATCTAGCGGCTGCGACAAATCCAGCAAACTCGACGCTGTCCCCATGGCATGTTGCTATATACTTTGACGAAGTCGGTCCGGGTAACCAACTTAAGATTCACAATAAGAGGAAGCTGTGGGCCGTTTATTATTCTGTAAAGCAATTTGGGGGGTATGAACTGACTCAAGAACACTCTTGGATGGTTCTCATGTGCATTCGAAGCGACATCGTTAACGGGCTCAAAGGTGGCCTCTCGCACTTGTTCCTTCGTTGCCTCCAGATATTCCAGTGCTTAGAGACTGGAATCACTCTCCAATTTAACGATTGTATCAAGGTTTGTTGCTTTAAAATTGGTATCCTCATCGCCGATGAACAAGCGATTAAACTCTGCTTGGAGTGCAAGGGTGCAAGTGGCAAGATGTGCTGCTTCCGGTGCCAGACCACGGTCCAGGCACGGTACGCTCCCACTCCCATTGGACGCTTGATTTTGCACACGGAGCATGACGTCAGCAAGCTTGTGCTCCACTCTGATCGGTCAGTCTGGCAAATTGTAGACCACTTGGCTACACAAGCGGGACATGGCACAAAGAAGGCCTTTTCCGAACTTGAGGTGCGCTTGGGGTGGAATCATGTGCCGAACGGGGTGTTGCTTGATCAAGATATGAGGGCCCATTTCAAGCCGATCTCTCATGTGAGCTACGATTGGATGCATGTGTACTTGGTGGCTGGCATTTTCCACAAAGAAATTTCTGCGCTCTTGGATTTGATGTCCAAACATGGGATCAGGCAATCTGCTTTGCATGATTGGTGCAGTCACTTTGTTTGGCCGCACCTTCATGGTGGTCAGGGTTGTTCGGCCAAGGATGTATTTCAGAAGAAACGCGACAGTGACTCTGAGTTCAAATGCGCATCCAGTGAGGCGTTGGGCATCTATCCTGTGATTCGTTCATTTTTCCAAAACATGAATATGGAAAACATTGGCCATGACATGCGACTCGGTATCAACTCCTTCTACTGCTTGTGCGAAGTCTTGGACAGCCTCAAGCATGCTGCCACGGGGTCGATTGCCGTTGCCGCATTCCAGAGTAAGATCGAAGCTCATCTCATTGCATTCAAAGTTCCTTGAACGCATTGCCATCTATAGGACGCATGTGACACGTATATATATATATATTGATGTTGTTGTTGTCAACTCATGGTTGCATGTGATATTTTCTTGGTCCACTGATGGTGCTGTTACTTGTTAGTTCCATGCATGGGGAATGTTGGTATATCTATATAACAAAATGTCATTTGCCCACTTGCATTTGCCCACTTGCACGTGTGACCTTCACTTTCAGGCTATTTATGGCACCGACTCCTATGTGCCGAAGCATCATTTTTCAGTGCACCTTCCATCACTGATGGAACTCCATGGCATGTTGATCAGTTGTTTTGTGCATGAGCGCCGGCATAAGATTACAAAGAGGTCTCTTGACATTTGCTTTGGTTGTTCAGAGCTGGGTGCAAGTTTTACTATGTTTCACACTCATTGGTTCATGGTGCTAGAGGAGTATAAAATCATTGCCAAGACGGTCTTTGATTTTGTCCCATGGTTCGTATTCCTTTGGTTGCCCAGGTTCGCAAATATGCAGCACAGCGGGCATGAGTCCATGGACCGGAGTGTTCTCCGAGAAGTCGTCACAACTCACATTTTCGACCTGCAAACAGACGAAGATGACTCCGCATGGAAACCAGCAAAGCCTAACCTGGTAGAAGCCTGGAAGAATCACCTTGGCCTTCCTTTCTTGACTCATGCATTGCTTGTTGCAGCGACCAGCAACCGCTGCCACATGGATGACATGGTTGCTGTTACAGAGCCTAGGTGCATAGCACAAGTGCTGTTCCACATTCGATATGGTGAGACTCGTGTCACTTTGGTGAAATGCTTTGAAAAAACGGGTAAGAACACATTTAAGATGAATCCTCATGACAATGAACTATTTGTGAGCACCAGTTGCCTGCAAGGTGCAGTTGTATACAAACGCCTTGATGCTGAAAGCATCCTTGTTGCTCCGCAGAGTTTCTACACAGCGTAGATTTAATCACACGCAACTGCTCTTCAAGCTGACTTCATGAGAAGTCATTATATATGTATCAGAACGCCATTGTTTTTCATGTCAGGAAGTTGGACAAAACCATGTTTTGTTTTTGGAAACTTGGATTGATTGAAGCCACATAATTTCTGATGTCATGCCACAATGCTATAGCCAAATCAGCATGTGCGATTTGGATATCATCCGCAGGGTCCATTCTTGGTGCTGGCACTCCTGGATAGATAAAAAGAGACCGTTGTCAGCCTTCATTTTGGTGCAGTGTGAACTTCATCCAGGATCCATATAGATATTTTTCAGATATTCACATAGTACCTATATATATATCTGCACCTATTGTTATAGCATGACTATGTGTTTGTGTGCATGTTGAGATGCATTCTTGCCATTAATCCAAAACACCAATCAACTCTTCAGCAGTGCTGGTCTATATAAGTACTTGAGCAAGTTCTACAAGAAATTGTGTTGGTTCACCGAATGCTACTATTTCACGAAAGGTGTTGAAAACATACAAGAGGCTGTATAATGTTGGATCCACATGCAGTCGTTCCCATGCAAGCAATCATGACCCATGGCTTGACTTGATCCGAACATATGCGCTGACCTATAGCTCTCGGTATCTCAGCATCCACTTGCTCAAAGTAGGGTTTGTGTTTCGTTGCCATGTCTGCGCGTGACATGCTGATAGAGTTGCAGGCGACCAGCATCGAAATTGCTGCCCAGCTTGCAGCTAGCCACGCCCTGTTGATCAAAATGCAAAAGAACCTGCAGGAGTTGAAAGATTTGCTTGATCCACCACCTCCAGTCTCAAAGAGAGATCCGCCCGAAGCTGTCGAGACAGAAGATGAGCGAGAGCACAAGCGGCTGAAGGCCGTTTATCAGCGCAGGGGTGGCACGACGACGTTGCCCTTGGGGTCAGCATGGGGCGACCCCACGATCCCTGCTGATGATGCTGTCGCACTGGGGGTAAAGGTGGAAGAAGAGGTGGATGAGGCAACAGCGCCAACTTTGATGACATGACCTTAGTATGGATTGGCCACGCCTTTGAACAGTTTTTGTACAGGATGCAGCCGTGATCATGCAGGCATCTGGAAAATCATGCATGCCGTTGTTTTGTATGATTGCATGGCATGAACCCACCAGCGAGTAAACCCGCATGGTGCACCCAGCGAGCAGTACCCGCATGGATGTCCCCACATTCTTGTCATGATGCATGTGTTGTGCAATGCTTCCCGTTATACGTGCAGGTATGGGATGCCAGATGCCGGTGCAACTTCAACTTCATCCACTCTAACAAGGTGCCACTGGGAGCAATGGGTTGTTCAAATAAAAAGATGTCACTTCACAAAACAATTTCGTGCAGATCGAAGCGGTATCCTGCATTTATGCTTTTTCAAAATCTATTTTGATTCCTGTCCACTTGCAACTATTGGCTTTTGTTCTCAACATGTATGAAACCTATACACAAGCAAAAAATGTTGTATGTTGTGAAACTTGATAGAGTCAATCAACATGATCTTAAATATATATATATATAAAGTCAAGTATGTATATATATATATACTCAACATATCTCTGTATAGGTGTTTTGTTTTGGTTTCTACTTGAATACATATATATATACATGAGTTTCATGCAGCGGGGACATGTGGGAATGGGCGGTCAAGTCATGCATGCATCCATGCACGGAAGAAGGCATATTATTACCCAAATATATATATATATACTCATGCATGCATCCATGCATCCATGCAGGGAAGCATACAGCATGGCCCATGTGCAGCACTCATGTTGTCTTTGCAAGCTGTCTCAACCACTGCAACTTCACGGCAGACACATTGGCTCCAAGCTGCGAAGGTTTCGACCCCATCCACCGTTGTGCTCATGGCGACTCAGCCCATGGTGTCCCTGGCTGATGTGGCATGGATGGCTCCATTCGTCGAGGGTGGCATGGGTCCTCTTGCTGACAAAACGATCTGCAAATACAGGCACTGCGGATCGAACCGACGAAGCGAGTGGATCCTGTTCCGAGGAACCGAAGGGGCCAACAAGTCCAGAGACATCGGCTTCTTGCGCCTGACTACCAAGAATCTTGGATTGGAGTTTGGAGGGGTGTGCCACGTTTGCCAATCAGCTTGAACTTGTGTGCCATGTTTGTTAAGTAGTTTGGACGTGCCGTTTTTGAAGCCATGCATGTTCCAACTTTGTTTTTTACAATGCTGAGGAAGAAGAACCGGGTCTTTGGTATGCAGGGCACATGGTCCATCTCGAAGCGCAGGGAGCAGATGGTCCTCGAGCTGAGGGATTTCGCTTGTGAACCTGGATGCCGGCTCTGGGATTTGGATTTTGTCCACGAGGGTGCTGAGTCTTGGCTGCACATGACTGCATGTCGTCCATGTAGGTATAGTGAAAGGTTCATGTCATTGCTTGACATGATATCACTTTGCTTGATAATGATGATGAGGAAGATGATGATCGCAATGACGATGATGATGATGATGATGATGATGACGACCATACTGATGAATGGTGATGGCGGTCATGATGATGAAGAAGATGTTGATGCCGATGACGACGACGATGATGATGTTTGTTGATAGTTGTCGTTCATCGACTGTTCATAGGTTTTATGCAGTTTCTTTCATGGTTTTTGTTCACACGTTATTCATTGATTGTGCATTGTTTTGTTTCACAGTGTTTGTCACAGGTTGTTCATAGCATGTTCATAGTTTGCAGGTCTCGTTTCTTTTTTTGCCATATGTTGTTCATACTTTGTTCATGGCTTCTGCTCATCGTGTGTTCATGTTCATCCTTGGTTCATGGTTTGCATACTGCACTGCCACCGCCATACACCAAGGGCATGTTCAAGAACGTGACGGATGGAGTGATCCGCCTGTTCACCGTGGTGCATGCTGGGGCGAAGGTCTTCCATCAGTGCATGGTCATGGAGATCAATGAGATCAAGGAGGCATCGCCTGATGATGGTGCAGTTGATGGTGCAGTCCTGGCCTTGGAGGGCGGCATGCTCGCCTTGACCGATGCCCCTGCTGCAGCTGATGGACATGCAGATCGTTCTCCCGCATGGACCTTATTGGAGCCAATGTGAGGGAAGCTCTTGGCAGCTTCAAATTTTGCCACTTTGGCATAGGAATGATGGCAGTGAATTTGGATTGCCATCACTTTGCATCCTCAACATGGAGGGTGGCCTTTCTGAATCTTCTTTAAGAAGATTTGGACAACCGAGAAGATGAGGAAAAAAACAGGTGATGCTGCAGGGAGTGCTACCTTGTGCCCATGCCCCATGTCCCATGCCCCATGTTCCATTTCCCATGTTCCATGTCCGCATGCCCCATGCTATGGTCATATTCAGTAAGGGTCCTTGATAATGTCACAACCTTCACCCAGGTCCAATTTATTTAGGAGATTATAACGTTTGTAGGTTTCTGAGCTGCAGATATACCCACATGTCCCCTTTGTTGCCCATTGTCCCTCCTGTCAGGTGCTTCATCGTGTCCATCGACGTTGTTGCAACTTTTCTCTCGGGATCGCGGTCTTGTTGTTGCTGTTGTTGCTGTTGAGTTTGTATGGATGGATATTCACATGTGTTACATGTACATGTTGCATTTGTTATAATGAGACATGTTTGGTTTACATCCATGCACGTGGATATATGACATGTGGATATGTTGATTGGTTAATACATGAGCAAAACATGTAGTGTTGATCAACCCATTGATGGCATGTATATTGCATCGTTTTATGTCTTTATTCACTTATGGCATGATTATAAACCCCGAAATTTTAAGGGTTGAAAAGGCCACAGTTGGGCTTGGCTCGCTGGCCTATAGCCTATAGCGGGCACTGTGCTCGCAGGTTTGTTTGGAAAACATGCATGAGTGTGTCAATATTGATCCTTTTCTATCTGTTTTCATTTCATTATACTTTGATCTATATACCAAACAATTCACAAGCCATGATGCGTATGATGCACGTTTCTTTCCTTGCAAACATGTCATTTGAGTTTCTCACAAACATGTGCTGCCACGCATGTCTCATGCAATGCGTTGCCAACACATATGTTTTACTTGTTCAACAAACACGTGTTTTTGAGCATTTTTTCAAACTGCTCGATCGTGTGAACAAAAAAGCATGCAATGATTCTGTGACACTTGTTTGGTCCTTTTTGTTCACAAATTATTTTAATTCTTAAACTTTGTCATGTGTGAAGCTTTCCGTGGAATATTTGAGCTTGCCAAAATTTTGGACACTGTTTCAGAAAAACATCAAACTAATGTCAACTTAGGTCACTTAAGTAACCTACTTACCCCACTTAGCGTACTTATGTATATGTGATCTAAGTATACTTAGTCCACTTAGTTTAAGTAGCCTAAGTATACTTAGGTAAGTAGGATAAGTACACTTAGCTAAGTGGAAACTAAGTCTCCTATGTATACTTAGAGTAAGTGGGATATATACTTAGTAAGTAGCCTATGTACTTAGTAAGTATCCTATATACTTAGTAACCAGCCTGACCCTCCAAGTAAGGCCAACCAACGACTAGCCCTTTTTGCCACACCTGCCCACTCTGTAGTGCAAAGAAGCCTTGCCAATAACTGTTTTATTCTGTCCCTTAATATTTACCAAAGTACATACTTTGGCTTTACCCCGGATGACATTAACTTATACCAACAACGCTCTGCTAAACTTATCCTTGGTAGACCATGGCTTGCTGCAAGGTATCTCCCACATATATTCCGTTGGTTAGGTATTGCTCCCGCTTTAGACCCGGCTGTCACGCTCACTGCAGCGTGTTTGGGCTATTGGCTTAGACAGAATGGCTCTACGGCCTTTCTCTCACCGGGGTACCCGGATGTAGGGACAAGGCAAGGAGCAGTTGTCCAACGCATATTCCGAACATGGACTCCCCTGCTAGGCATTGACACAGTCGGTAACTTGCTACGCATATTGCAGGACAGAATACCAGA